TGTGTCAGTTATGTAAATTGCTTTGGTATTTTGAATATAATTAAAACAAAACTTACTGCTGTAAATGATATCACATAATCAGTTACAGTGAACACCTCGCAATCGCAGCCACTCGTCTATTTAGTGTATTTTACTTGGTGTAAGGATGTTAATATTTGTGACAGATCCATCTGCCTAAGTTCTATCTGCTGGTTCGTCTAATTTAGTATACTTTCGTGGAATTACCTGCCCGTACATCCCTGTTTGTCTATTTCAGATTATACCGAATAAAACTAGTGAATGGACGGCCACCCAGAGGAGAAGTGTGCTGCTGGTTAACCTATTGGCCTCAATTAGAACGTTGTGGTTAACCACAGACACCTCTTGATTAGAACCGTATGCAGGGTGGTCGTCGTTCGCATGTCGACCACGAGGCGCCGGCCATTTTAAACACGCTAATGAACAGCGGTGTTCAGCGCTCAAACTATGGAACTAGAAATGGACACTTTTTCTACCGAACACCGCTGAAACTGCCGACCGCCCTTCTTATCCACGGGCATGCGAACGCCGGTCCATTGGAGTCAATCGTACACCGAAAGAACAATGTGAAAGACTTTGACTCCATGGCGATTGAACTGCGTGCATTGGGTCTGAGCGCTATTCGGTAGTAATGTGAGCATTATTTCGCCTATTCTAGGAGAGAAGGAGTTCGGCTGATTCTTTGTTCGGGAGTTTGAAGTATTCCCTTATACTCTGTTCGGGAGTTTGGCGGTCTACAACAACAACTAAACGGCGATTTCACTCATTTAAGCTGGGAGTGTCTTAACAATATTCATGGCCATAATATATACACAGTTAAAAGGGACTCTATAGGTACAGCTGTCCCTTGATCTCTCAGATGTGGTATTTCAAAAGATTTAAAGGGATTACTTTACTTGCTCATCTTTCAATCTGGGACCACTAGTTGTGGCCTAGGATGAAAAAAGGAACCCTCCAATATTGATAGATACTTGGGATTCTTGATACTGTTGTGGATCAGAATGTTGATCTTTGTTATATTCAGAGGAAGCCCAAATTGTTGTTACAAGTGCACTTGGAGAAGCGAGAATTAGACACCAGACATCTGTTGGTATTCAAAAAATGCCTCTGCCGTTTGATTCATCAGCTGGGTTTTTATACATTAAAAAGTAAGTGCTTAGGTGCAAATACTCATAGAACAGTAATAGGAAGGGAGTACAGATAAGACATAGGAATGAACGTCATGTACACATAACAAATAAGTTCCAAGGTAAGAAAGAACAAAACGATTAGAGAAAAGACATCTCAGGTGGGGCCTCTCTGCTCCCGGAACTAGACATATATGGTCTTAAGTGTTGTGTTATGCATCAAGCATTTCCTGAGTCCAAGTTAGCCAATTTTAATATAGGATATCATTATATGACACCTATAAGTTTGAGCCTTGGAATCAAGATAAATTCTATCACAATCCCCTCTTTTGATCCAAGGGTTACCCAAATGTCCAAGGTATTTCCAGGCCTGCTAGCCAAAGACTGTGGGACTTTCATTTATTGCTTCACCACGGTTCCCTTGGACTGAGAGACCACCAGAATAAGCGGAGGAGAGTTCCTTCATTTGTTAGGCGAGGTAACATCATAAAACCCTTCCAAAGTTGGAGCTGGAATGTAAGTTAAGGTACGACCAACAGTAGGTTTGTTGTTACATAGAGAGGTTAGTAGACATGAAAAAAATCTAAAGGTTAGAAAAATGGCCATAATGACAAATACAGCTAATAGCAAAAAGTACAACATTTTCTTAATTAGTAAAGTCAACCATGTTCCTAGCCCAAATGTCCAATCCCAATCCCCAAAGAAGCCAGTATCCTGTTTGATATCCTGTACTAAGTCATATAAATCTTTTATATGTTTATGGATCATAGTGCCATGGTCAGATAGGTTAAAACAGCACATACCTTCAATAGCTTCATAGCCTAAGTCATGTTTCATTAGTAAGTAGTCAATGGCTGCTCTATTCTCAAGGATTGCCTTCTTATTTGCCTGGTTGTCCATAAGAAGCTCTTCTAGGGCCTGTGAAGTGGCATTTAAACATTTTGCAAGGGAACAGGCTACAGCATTAACTACTCGGGTATTATACAGTGCTAAGCCTGGGACTCCTACCAAGGTCTACGCTAGGGCAGAGTATTCGGCTTTAGATAAGAGAGTGATTTAAGGGTTACAATCTACAGTAAGGGTGTTTTTAACATCTCTCCTGTCTCTCAGCAGTTTGTGTAGCTGGGTGGTTTTAGGGATCAGGTCAGATTTGGAAAACATGGTCATGGTTAGGCGAGAGATTGCACAGGGACCTCCTGTAATGTTACCTGGGACATAAGCATAAGTAATATTTCCACAGGAGAAAGTCCATTCTTTAGGAAGATAGACATTGTAGTGGTAACTCATAACTTGGTGAGTTTTGGTACAATTCATAGTGGCGCTGAGGGCTCTACAATTCGTGGTATTTTTCCACCATGTGGGGCAAAACAGGGATTCAGTATTAGGGTCTCTTGAACAATAACATGAAAAAGACCAACATAGTTCAGCGCCTGTCACATTAATTGTCTTCAGGGCTAGGGGAGGCTTGCCTACCAGTGGGTTGAAAGCATAAGAATATAGTTGTAGAGATTTATGGGGTCTATGAGTATGTAGGTACTTCCTCAACAGTGAGATGGGGGTAGGGACAGCTATAAGACAAGATTCTATGGCGTTTTCAGTACTGAGGAGAGGGTTGAGGCAAAAGAAGGTTAAATTAAAAGCCTTTGCTATCTGCAACCATATATTTTCCTGCCATGCATTATTATCTTCTGGTCTCAAGTCAGAGTAGCATATCCGAACATAGCATACAATGGTAAAGGATAAGAACAGCTTCATGTCGGTGGATCAGTCGGAGTGACTTGTTTACAGTGATCGGCGTGTATCCACGTGGCTTTTCCTTCTAGTTTCACTGAGGTAGCCGTAGTCAAGAGCACTTGGAATGGACCGTCAAAGCGTGGTTCAAGTCCTTTCCTCACATGCCTCTCTATCACCACCCAATCACCAGGCTGCAGTTTGTGAGTTGCAGAATCAGAGTCTAGATGTGGAATAGAATCAAAGACTTGTTTATGCACCCTGCCTAATCTTTGGTGTAGGGCCTGAACATAGGCAGTCATACTACCATGCTGCATCTGGAGGGTTTGGGAAAAATAGAGGCCTATCTTTGGGGCACATCCAAACAGGATCTCAAAAGGGGATAGGCCACGTCTGGGATTGGGGGTGAATCTCATAGAAAAGAGTGCTAGGGGATTCAGTCCAGGGCTTCCCTGTGTCTTACATTGCTTTTGCAATCTTGTTTTTTAACGTGCCATTTGCCCTACTTTCCCACTACTCTGGGGGTGATAGGGGGTGTGGAAGGCCTGACTGATCCCTAAGGCTTTCATAATTTCTTGCATTGTTTTCCCAGTGAAATGGCTACCTCTGTCACTTTCAATCACTTCAGGTACTCCATATCTACGTACTAGTTCCTTCAGAAGCTTACTTGCTGTGACCTTTGTTGTGGCTTTCGACACTGGGTAGGCCTCAGGCCAACCTGAAAAGAGATCAATGCACACCAACACATATTCATACACTCCTACCTTAGGCAGTTGAATATAGTCTATCTGCAGTCTTTGAAATGGGTAAAGTGGCCTTCGTGTGTGCTTACTTGGTGTTTTGACAGCCTGTCCTGGATTGTTTCTAGCACAAATCATGCAAGCTTGGGTGTGTTTAGCTGCTACAACAGTAAATCCGTGTGCTACCCAATGGGTGTTTACTATGCTGTTCATGTGCATCTTGGATAGATGTGTAGGTCCATGGGCAATCTGAGCCATCATGGGGTACAACACTCGTTGCAAACACAGTCTTTTACCTTTCCTCCACATTCTTTTATCATCAGGTTCTGCATCTTGTTTCCCCTTGCTTGCCTGTCTTTGTAAACTCAACAGTATATTGTAGTCAACGGCATCATCTGTAAGAACAACTTGTAGGAAGGTATTACCTGTAGAGGGATGAACTTGAATTGCTGCTTGCTTGGCAGCTTCGTCTGCTTTGTGGTTTCATCTTGAGATTTCATCTGTGATCTTCACGTGAGCTGCCACCTTGATGATGCCTACTTGAGTGGGTAGCAGGATAGCGTCCATAAGTGCACTCACGGCTTTAGAGTTCTTGATTGGAGTTCCTGCTGAGGTGAGAAAATCACGAGCCCGCCATATAGGGCCAAAATCATGGGCTATACCAAAAGCATAGCGAGAGTCTGTATAAATATTAGCAGTCTTACCAGAAGCCATTTTACACGCTTCAGTGAGTCCCTTCAGCTCTGCCTCCTGTGCAGAGCAGTGAGGAGCGAGTGGTTCAGCTTTTATTACCTCATGTGCAGAGACTACAGCATATCCAGTGTGGAAATTACCCTTCTCATCAGCATATCTGGAACCATCTACAAAAAACTCAAAATCTGCATTAGATAATGGAGAATCAATTACATGCAAAAAACCTGCTGTTTCTTGTGCCATTAGTGCTGCACAATCATGGAGTACCTGGGCGTCAGCTAACTCATCTGGTGAAAGTGAATTTACAAAAAGATCAGATGTACAAGTACCATTCTCACTATCCCCACTTCCCTCCAGAGGAAGTAATGTAGATGGATTTAACACCATACACATTTTAAGGGTAACATTAGGTGGCATAAGCAAGGCACATTGCATTCTGAGATGCCTTGCAGTATGTATGTGTTTTGGTTGAACTTGTGACAGTATGCTGTTGATGTCATGCGGTATGTATATGGTCACTGGGTTATCTAAGACAATATCAGTGGCTTTTTCCAGGAGGGCAGTAACAGCCGCCACTGCCCTAACACATGAGGGGACACTCCTGGCAACAGGATCCAATCTGGTGGAGTAGTATGCTATTGGTCTTTGTTTACCACCATGGTCCTGTGTAAGGACAGATGTAGCATAACCTGATTGCTCAGTACAGAACAGGTTAAAATTCTTTCTATAATCTGGGAGATCCAGTGCCAGAGCTGACGTTACCAGTAACTTAAGGGTATAGAAGGCATTTTCTGCCGAATGAGTTAATGTAAATGGTTTGTTTTCGTTGGCAAGACAATCATGCAGTGGTTGCATGTAGATTGCTACAGAACGTAGCCAAGGACGGCAGTAAGAAATTAAACCTAGAAATGTACGCAGCTGGGCTATGCTGCGGGGGGTTTAATATTTTGCACTGTAGTCTTTCTACTTTCCGAGAGATGTTTTATGCCCTGGGAAATGCAATGTCCTAGGAAAATAACTTTCTCTACACATGCTTGCAGTTTCGCTTTTGTTGCTTTGCAGCCTGCGTTTGCCAAGAATTTCAGCAAGGAAAGAGTGTTTACAATACAAGATTCCACATTATCGCAACATAGGAGTAGGTCATCGATATACTGCAATAAAATTGTTATTTGGCCTTTGCCACTCTTCAAGAATCTGGGCCATAGCCATGCTGTACATAGTGGGTGAGTTTTGTGCGCCCTGTGGCAATACTGTCCAAGTGTACTGCTTGTGTTTATGTGTAAATGCAAATAAAAACTGACTGTCAGGATCCAGGGGGACACTGAAAGTCAATAACAGTAAATACCTTAGAGAAAGGTGGTATTTGTGCCAACAAGGTGTGTGGGTTGGGAACATTAGGGGCAATGAGTTCAGTTACAGCATTAATTGCCCTCAAATCATGTACCATACGGTAGACCACAGGTTTCCCTTTCGCTTTTTCTTAATTGGGTACAATGGTGTGTTACAAGGGGAGGTGGTCTGGACAACTACCCCTGCCTGCAGAAACTTTTGCACAGATTGGGAAATAGCATCTTCCTGTGCTGGGCTTAGGGGGTATTGTTTTTGATAGGGAGGTTTGGCTTCGGGCAGGAGATTCACTTTGACTGGGGGCACAGAGAGTCTGCCTGTATCTGTCTTCCCTGTAGCCCATAAGGAATCAGGGACTGAGGACAAGTCAATGGTAGGTTCTAGCCAGGGCCGGCGCTACCTGTAAGGCGACCTAGGCAGCCGCCTAGGGCGCACCTTAACAGGGGGCGCCGGATCCCTGCGCCCGGAGTCACCTCAGATTTGAGTGACCGTCAGGAGGGAAGCGCAGAGCGCTCCCTCCCACCAGTCTCTCAATGTAGCGTGGCCGGGCGGCGCGGAACGCGGGACAGGAACCTCTGTTTCCTGTACCCGGCCGCCGGCGGACTGACAGGAAGTGCTCACTGAGTCACGCTACATAGGCAGGGGGAGGGGGTGTGAGTAAGGACGGGGGAGTAAGGAACACAGGGAGAGGGGAGGGAGGGGGTGGAGTAAATAACTGGGGACAAGGACCACAGGAGGAGGAGGGTGAGTAAGGACCAGAGGGGGGAGGGAAGGGGGAGGCGACCACAGGAGGGTGAGTATGACCCAGGGAGATGTATAAGCAACAAAGGAGGCTATAAGGACCGGGGAGGGGTGGGAGTAAGGACCAGGGGGCATGGAGAACTGGGGGAGGGGGGGTAAGGACCAGAGGTGGAGGGAGGGGGGTAAGGCCACTGGGGAGGGGAGAAGACCAGAGGGGGGAGTAAGGACCACTGGGGGAGGAGAAGGAGGGGAGTAAGGAACACAGAGGGATGGGAGGGGGTGAGTAAATCAATTCAGGGGATGGGGAGTAGGAAACACAGGGGAGGGGAGGAGGGCAAGGACCACCAGGGAGGGGGGAGGGTGAGCGCACCGAGGGGAGGGGAGGTGACCACCAGGAGGATGAGTAAGGACCA